CCAAGGGGTCGAAGGCACTAATGTTGGCCTATTGGATATGATATCCTAGCAGTTAGTATTATGTTAAGTATAAGTTAGTTATGCATGCTAGTTGCTATGCTAGTGTGGTAGATTAGTATGATTACTTGTGTTATTACCTGATTATCTGTATGTGCATTAGTTATGTTATATGTCGACATATTATTTAGGATGTGTTGAGGTTGTACTGCTCTGTGCGGTAACCAAAAAACCCTAGAGTATTCGAGATATGAGCTGAGGACCAGACAAGGCATGCCAGACTCATACTAAGGACTCAGGAGCATTCCAGCTGAGGGCTGGGTAGGGCATGTCAGAATCATATTGTGGGCTCAGTGGCAATCCAGATGTGAGTTGTGGGTCTGGAAGGTAAGCCAGAATCACATTGTGGGCCCTAGGGGTAATCTACTATTTAATGTTGTGGACCCATTACATGTTGTTATTTGTATATGTGTTATGTGATGTGTATTGGTATTTTGGGGGAACTCACTAAGCTTTGGGATTACAGTTTTAGTTTTGTTTCAGGTACCTCAGATGATCGCAGGAAGGCAAAGGTGTGATCGTACAGCTCATCACATTTATGATTTTGTTTATGGGATTCTCTGATATTATACTATTTTGAAAACAAGTTTTGTAATGTTTTATGGTTTTGAAATGTTTTAAAAAGTTTAAATTTGGAATGATTTTATGGATGTTACAAGTTGGTATCAGAGCCTTGGTTTGAGTGAATTGGAGGAACACTTGTGTGAATCTAGTTTCAAACAAAGAAAAAGGATTTTCAAAATGATTTTCTTTCAAAAAGGTTTCAAAATATCAAAGGAGGATGCAGGGTGTATGATCAGCCGATGCCAATAAGTAGACCCCAAAATACCATACAGTTATTTGATATTGTGATATGTTAGAACATCATGCTTGTACTAGGCTAGGGATATTCAGGAATTGCATGATAGAATTGCCTAATTAAATGATGCCTAATAGACTAGAGTTTTCCTTATATGAAATTGACATCATTACTATAGTTGCTTAGTGTGTGCATCACGACTGTACATAATTAAGATCTTATAGCCTGAGAATGTTTAGTTTGACCTTATTTCCTTTTCTTTTTTGATGAAGGGCATAGGGTAGGATCAAGTATTTGAAAGTTTATAGGGTCCAGCATTATGCATGCCTAGCATACACGAGTGTTGCAGGGTTTGTGGAAGTTTCATGGGTGGGTTGTGTGAGGCCGGTAGGTCGGTTATGAGATAGTTAGCTTTCCTTTATGAGTGAGGAATGAACAAACACCATGCATATGTATATTTCTAGGGTGTTGTTATGATACTTGAGACACATATGGGTAGGTGTGGAAGGTAGTATGGGCCCGTGCTACTGAAAGCACAGGACCCATACGCATAGCAAGTATGTCACAACCCCTAGGGTGTAGTTAGGAGTTGGTTCCCTGTTATTTATGCGGATTATCTGATATCTTTCTGGAATGTTTTCAGAATGGTGGTTACGAGGCACTTGGTGGCTGGATCCGGATCAGGATCAGGATCAGTTGATGGCGTTGAGGAGGGACCGAGAGTGCCCGAGGTGGTTGGTTAGATGATGACAAATGAGCTAAACACTAGGATTCGATAGATCCTGCATGTTGAGGTTGCCAATTTTTTTTGGGTACATCTGACAGAGATGTTTGGGTCCATTAAGACTACCATGGTCGAGCATTTTGATGAGCGTTATGCAACCTCTGCAGAGACGCCTACCACAGCAGCTGCAATGGCGGCAGGGGGTGGAGCCAGTCGGGCTTTTCAATATAGGGACTTCAATAACACAAATCCCTTACTTTTGATGGGACTCAGGACCCCATCAAGCCACGAGGTGGGTTTTTGATATGGAGGAGTGCTTATTTACATGTTCATGTCCTACTAACATGAAGGTCAGATGTGCCTTGAACCTGTTGAGGTCTATAGCAAAGGACCGGTGTAGGTTGACGACTGCGTTATACATGGATGATCAGAGAGCTGCAACTACATGCGAATAGTTTAGGGATATGTTCTGCACTCATTACATTCCACGGGTTGAGCAGGAACAAATAGCTCAGGAGTTTTTGGGATTGAGAGGATGGGGAGTCGGTGACAGAGTTCACTCGCATGTTCATAGAGAGGCCTATGTTCTGCCCATAGTTTTCTTCTGAGCAAGCTCAGATGACATGTTATCTGAGCATGCTCAAGACTGACCTCCATCAGTTTGTGTCTACCCAACAATGTGATACCTTACTAGAGTTGTAGGAGGCCGCTAGGCAGAATGAGCTGGAGATTGAGCTGTATTTGAGGGAGCAGCGGCAGGCCCTGACACAGTCACAGTCGGCGCTGAAGCGGTCTAAGACTGTTGATTCTTGGACCGGGGGTCAGCATGGCCACAATTGTGGAAAGTGCGTCAAGGTTAATTTTGTGGTTTATCGAGTAGGTAGCTGGTGCCACAAGTGTGGCAAGGAGGGGCACGATGAGAAGGATTGTCGCCATCCCGCCTTGGTTCCGAATATGAGGTTATTTTATCACTGTGATCAGGTTGGCCATTTGAAGGCCAACTATCCCTTGCTCGCTACCAAATCGGCGCAGGCTCCCACACAAGCTAGATTGAGGATTACTGATGGGAGAACAGGTAGAGCAGAGCCCCCGAAGGCTCAGGGACATGCCTTCCAACTCATAGTAGAGGAGGCCAGGGCAGCACCATATGTGGTTGTTGGTATGTTTCTATCCTTTATCTTATTGATTATATATGTTTTATGCTTATCTGTTTGTACCTGTGATTAGGTATGTTTTTAGTAAACTCCTTGCATGCACTAATTTTATTTGACTTGAGGGGGAGTCGTTCATTTTCCTTCCAAACATTTTGTATGGAGTTCAGTGTGGTAGTAGGAGAGCTAGAGTGTCCGTTGAGAGTCTCTATCACCAACGAACATGGGGTTTCAGCTTCTTCAGTTTATCGGGGATGTCAGTTGGAGATATTTAGGGTGTCTTTCCCGATCGACTTGATTCTGATTCCTATGGGGGACGTGTGTGTGATTGTGGGTATGAACTGGCTTAGATGTTTTGGTGCCATGATCGACTGCAAGGGTCAACGGGTAGTGGTTCGAACCCCAAGTGGGGGAGAGCTGATTGTCTATGGTGAGGGTACCAGATTGGGATCAGGCTTTTGTTTAGCTACTAGGGCTCGACAGTATATTCAGCACGGGTATGCTGGTTATCTAGCAGATGTGGTGGATATGCGGGCCAGGGATCAAAATTTAGTTTCAAAGGTTCTAGTGGTAAGGGAGTTTGCTGACGTATTTTCGGAGGAGTTACCCGGAATGCCTTCGGAGAGGCAGGTCAAGTTTACGATCAACCTAGTGATAGGTTCGGCCCCTATCACCAAGGCATTGTATCGGTTGGCACCAGCAGAGATGCAGGAGCTGTTATCAGAGCTGTAGGAACTGCTAGGAAAGCAATTCATTTGTCCGAGCAGTTGCCCTTAGGGAGCACCGATTCACTTTGTCAAGAAGAAGGATGGTTCACACCGGATGTGCATTGATTACCAGGAGTTGAACAAGTTGACGGTGAATATCCTTTATCTACTGCCGAGGATAGATGCTCTTCTTGATCAGTTGCAGGGGGCATCTTGGTTCTCCAAGATAGAGTTGAGGTCCGGGTACCATCACGTGGAGAAGACCGCGTTCCAGACTTGCTATGGACATTACAAGTTCATAGTGATTCCGTTTGCGCTCACTAATGTTCCTGAAATATTTATGGACTTGATGAATTGGGTCTGCAGACAGATGCTTGATCGCTCGGTCATCGTATTCATAGACGATATTTTGGTATACTCCAAAACTCGAGAGCGGCATAAGGAGCACCTTCGGGAGTTATTGCGAGTGTTGAGGTGGGAACGATTTTATGCCAAGTTCTAAAAGTGTGAGTTTTGGTTATGAGAGGTTTAGCTCCTTGGACACCTCGTTAACCAGGAGGGGATTTTCGTCGATCCGGCCAAAATCGAGGCGGTTATCCAGTTGGAGGTTCTGAAATATCCTTCGAATATTAGGAGCTTCCTGGGATTGGCAGGGTTATACCGGAGATTCATATAGGATTTCTCCAAGATTGCAGTACCCCTTACTCGTCTGAAGAGGAAGGGGGTGGATTTCCGGTGGGGCCCCGAGCAGTAGAGGGCGTTTAAGACCCTTCGATAGCGACTATGAGAGGCTCCAGTCTTAACTCTCCCGGAGGGAGTCGAGGATTTTGTAGTGTTATGTGATGCACCCATCACAAGCGTGGGAGCGGTCCTCGTGTAGAGAGGACAGATGATAGCCTACACATCACGATAGCTGAAGCCGCATGAGATGAGTTACCCTACTCATGATATGGAGTTGGGGGAAGGGGTATTCGCTCTCAAGACTTGGAGACATTATCTCTATGGGGTCCGTTGTACCCTATACATGGATCACAAGAGCCTGAGACACATCATGGATCAGCTGAACCTAAACATGAAACAACGTAGGTGGCTAAATTTAGTCAAGGACTATGAAAATGAGATCATTTACCACCCAGGTAAAGCGAACTTGGTGACAGACGCTCTGAGCCGCAAGTCAGGTGGATCCTCCACTCCGACAATATACATGAGGATATCAGTAGATTCTCCACTGGTGGGTTTGATTAGAGAAGCTCAAGCTGAGGGTATCCATCAGGAGAATTGGAAGCTTGAGAAGATTCCGGGTGAGAACACCCAGTTGGTGCAGGATAGCCAGGGGCTATTGATCCGTTATATTCAGGTCTAAGTTCCGATGTCTGGTAGGGTCAGACAGACTGTATTGGAGGAGGCTCATAAGTCTTGCTTCTCTATTCACCCGGGGGACACCAAGATGTACCGGGATTTGCGTTTGACTTATTGGTAGCCAAGCATCAAGAGGGAGAGCGCATGGAAGGTTGAGAGGTGTTTGACCTTTCGAATGGTCAAGGCATAGCATCAGAGGCCATATGGTCAGCTACAGCCCCTGGAGATTCCCATGTGGAAGTGGGAATAGATCACAATGGATTACATCACCAAGCTGCCGAGGACGACGAAGGGCTTCGATGCTACTTGGGTCATTGTGGAATGATTGACCAAGAGCACCCACTTTTTAGCGATACGGGAGAGTTCGTCGGCTAAGAAGCTGACCGACTTGTATATCCGCGAGATTATTGCCCGCCACAAGGTACTGTAACAACGTAGTTTTTCATAAAAAATTTTCATTTTTAAAACACATCAACTCATATAATACATTTCATGCACTACAAGAAAAATACCCTTTAATGACGCGCGAATAATGACACTCACTGATTTACAATACGCATTGTTGTGTGTCCCTAAAAATAATGTCAGCCTTCCAAAATTTGAAGGATATATGATACTCATGTTTGCGCGCCTAATAATAGATGTCCAACAAAAAAAATAAAAACACGGAGGGCACTTGTTTTAAATGGGTGTCCTCTAAAAATGTCGCTTTATATATTTTTTTATCAAACGTGCGTTTTTAACGGGCAAAAATATTGTAGTGCCCGCTTCTTCGATCTCTCCTCTGTATCTTCCTTCATTCACACCTAGGGCTTTCTCAAGAAAATTCAAAATGCTATTTGATTCTCCATCGGTTCTCCCAGGCCTCTGCAACAATCGAAACTAGTTTGATTTCTACCCTAAAACCTGGAACGACTTCTCCTAATCCTTTCTCCCAGGCATCTTCGTAAATGTTTTTAATTTTCTTTGAATTATATGCTAAAGTTTCATGTTTGCATGTTGAATTTCGTATTTTAGGTATACGATACTGACAATGCCAATCAGAAGGAAAAGTTTGAGGCCGACTTGAAGAAAGAGATTAAGAAACTTCACGGTACAAAAAAACGCTTTCTCTCTACCTTTTGTCTCTCTACTATTCTCTCCACCCTTTCTCTCTACCCTAAAACCTGGTACAACTTCTCTCTACCATTTTTCATCTCATTGCTGAAGGATGTAAAGGTTAAGTCTCCTAATAAAGGAGTTGTGGGTCGATTTGTGCGGATAGAGGTCGATTTAAGCGATGTTATTCCTCTTGGGGTTGTCGTTCAGTCTTCGTCTACTATCTACCATGCCCAACGAAAGCCAAGTGCTACTGGAGCTGTTGTGTTAGGAATCGGGAAAATGGACTGGAAATTGGAGCGTTTTAATAAAGCTAGGAAACCTAATCGGGGTGATTCTCTTCTCAAAACTCCTATGGATGCTGAGGATTACTATGTGTATGATGTTACAAAACAAGAGAGGGAGGATGTATCGGAATCTGATGGTGTGTGGGAATCCGATTCCAGTGCTTCTAGGGTTGCTTGTCAAGCTTCGATCAAGGGTTCTAGTTCCTATGTTATGGATGAAGCGAGCAAGGATTTTCCTCCGAGACTCAAAAACATGGAGTTGTAGAGAGAGATTACGCCTCATCTATGAAAGAATTATCAGACATGATAAATTGAAGGTAAGCCACATATTATTATTAGACATGATAAATTGAAGGTAAGCCACATATTTGATTATACATACATATATAGACTAACTGATGGGATTCTATTAATGATTGTAGCGTAAATTGGTGATTTGTTCACATGATATGCTTTTTATGTGTTTACTTTTCAGGTAATGATTAAAATTTCGGTGAATGGTGTTGAAGGCCAAAAATTAGAGGTTCAAAGTGCAACATTTAGTGCAAAAATTGCAGAAACAGCGGATGAAGGTGCTAAAAAGTCTGTTGTAGTCCTTGTAGTTTTAACATATGCTTTTTAAGAGGTCCATTGGCAGTGAGTAATAATTTCTAACATAAGTTGATTTGACCATTACTTGAGAAACCTAACCTAGCACACGGTCATCACTCATCACATCTATTTGACGTTGTTTTGTATGTTAAGATAGATGAGAATCTTGATGATCATAAGAACAATATTCCTTTAAGGAGTAAATGCACTCAACCTAGCACACTTACACACTTTAAAAAAGAATATGGAATCAAAGAACTTTGATAGTGCAGTCACATTGTGGATTTGTGGGCAAATTTGTTGTGTATCTTATTTGACAGTTATTTAGTTCGATTTCCCTTTTGTAAAGTTAAAGGATGATAGCTAATTTCTAATTATGGGCTACCAATTGTTCAGAGTGCAGGTAAATCAGCAGTTTTGAACAGTTTGATTCGGCATCCTGCTCTGGTACGACCTTAATTTTTCTTTATTTTCATCTTCAATCTAGACATATATATTCACTTTATGTTTTTTTCTAATTCATTTTGATAACACAACAAGTCATTTCAATTTGCAAATAAACTTGTGTAGCCAACTGGTGAAGGTGGTGTAACTCGTGTGCCTATATGTATTGAATTAAAGAGGGATGGTAACTTAAGCAGCAAATCAATTGTACTGCAGATTGATAGTAAATCCCAACCTGTGTTTGCAAGTTAGTCCTCATGTCATACTTAAGGGCTTAAGCCAATTTGACACACACATACACACATTTAGTAATAGGGTTCTATATATATATATATATATATATATATATATATATATATATATATATATATATATATGTATATATATATATGTGTGTGTGTGTGTGTGTGTGATTATTAAAATTGAATGCTCTTTTTGTCCACCAGCAGGTGCTCTTCGACACTCATTATAGGATAGGCTTAGTAAAGTTTCAAGCAAGAGTCGGGATGAAATATTTCTGAAGCCTAAAACAAGTACAGGTGAGTCTGTTTGCTTAAAAATATCAAGAATTTGGCAAATGCATCACGATACTTTGGATTCTTTTTATACCACTTAAGCTTTATTGTTTGTTTGCTTCATTTTTTTAAAAAAAATTCTATGTTTTTGACATGTCCGAGATACAATTTAGTTCCTTGTTTAATGTATTTCACCATTCTTAGGGGAGGGTGAAGGAATTCAATTCCTTTGGAACCTGGATCTTTGTCTCATTGGACATTCATTAAGGTATTTTTTTTTAATTTTTAATGCCGGTAATAACAATGTACTTTATTTTCTACCCATAGTAGTAGCATACTTACATTCCATTACCAATATGGGAATTGTACTTTATTTGTCACATATTGCTATTTTTACATGTACATTTCTATTATTTATAAAGAAATGTAAATATGATCCTATTATTAAATTATGGGTCGTATATTAATATAATCATTAAAAAATTGAAGTATGTTGCTATTATGACTGAGGAAATGAAGGTAGATTGTACCTTTATTAGAAACTAAAGATCAATGTTATTTCAGGATATGGTGAAGGTTTAAGCAGTTCACATTTTCACTGCTATAATACCAGCACTGATTATAGTAGCCTTGTACTTTTTTGACCATCTCGTAGCTGCACAAATGGTACAACAGAAAGAATTCATCTCAAAAACCCTTCTGCTTACCATTATGATATATTGTTACTTGGATTCAAGGTATTAAATATTAGCCTATTCAAATTTCCCTTTTCCCTTTTCTACATTTTCTATATTGTTATTATTTACATTTCAACAACCATTACTGGTGTGAAATTAGACTTTGATTTGTGGTCTGGTTGGTGTCCCTCCATCAAACGGTGTCCTCCCACAATCACCCATGCACACAGGGAGTCTCAACTCTTGAGAGACAGGGTAAGGCGTTGTTTCTTTTTTATTCTTCTAAAGTACCAAAATACCCTTGTTAGTTTATATTCTCAAGCAGTTCCAGTTCTAGTGTCTCTCCTAAGATCAGGTCCACTTGGTGTAAAGAGCCAAACAACTACAGTTTTGGGCTCATTATGTAAGGAAAACGAACTACGGGTCAAAGTATTACTTGGGGGTTGCATTCCTCTGCTTCTCGCTCTTCTAAAATCAGAAGAAGGTCAAATCACAGCTGCAAATACCATTTATGTTGTTTCTGAAGGTGATGCCAAATATCATGTTGGATCCAAAATCTTTGCCACTGAAGGCGTTGTTCTAGTGTTGTGGGAGCAACTTGAAAAGGGTTCAAAAGTAGTTGATGATTTGCTGACTGGTGCTTTGAGAAACCTGTGTGGGACCACCGAGGGTTTTTGGTCAGCAATAGTCAAAGTTGGGGGAGAAGATATATTGGTAAAGCTATTAACACATGACTAGTTAAACATGCAAGCCAATGATTGCTTTTTATTATCATGTATGATTATGGAAGATGCATCCGTATGTTTAAAGATATCAACTTCTGAAACTACAAAACAACTCCTGAAGCTATTAGGACCTGGTTATGAACCTCTAGTTAGAACACAAGTTGCATCTACTTTATAGTCTCTTTCAGCTCAAAGCAAAAAACAAGAAAAGATATAGCAAGTTGTAATGGCATCCCTTCTTTGATTAATGCCAAAATAGCTCCTTCAAAAAGGTTTGTGCAAGGTGAAGATGCTCTAGATTTACAAGAGAACGCGATGTATGATCTCTCCAACATTTCCGGTGGGTTGTGCCATGTTATCACTAGTCTCGGTCAAAGTCTTGACTTGTTCTCTTCACCTGGATAGGTGGCGGATACATTAGGAGCTTTGGTTTCTACTCTTATGATATACGGTAACGAATCAGAAACCAACAGAGCATCAAATCCAATTGACATTGAGTTGACTTTAGTCAAACAGTTTAAGCCACGTGTGCCATTTTTAGTACAGGAGTGCACCATATAAGCTCTTGCTAGTTTATATCGGAATGCCACCCTTTCAAGCAAACTTTCAAATCCTGCGTCAAAACCTTTATTAGTTGGTTTGATCACAATGGGAACGAATGAAGTTCAAGACGAGTTAATAAAATTTCATAATTTTATTTATAACGATTACTTAATTAATCTTTTATAAAATCTGTTGCAGTGTTGATGAATCTCCAAATTTTAAATCTTTCATTCACTGTTATCATGGATGGAGGTTTATCAAATCTATCCGGATTATCAACTCTTAGATCACTTAACTTATTTGTTTGCCACATTACAGATGCTGGACTTTCAACTCTTTCATGTAAAAAAAAATAAGGTTAGTTTCTTTCTTTGCTTAATAGTAAATTCATTACTTGTTTTATATTAGTTAACATCAATATGATTCAAAGGTTTCTTCACGAATTGTTGAAGAAACTAGATTCTGAATTGAAGCATGAGGTCTGTCATTAGGCATCATATTATATGAGTTCACTATTCATGGTATTGTCCCATTAAAGATTTTTTTTAAAACATTATTCTTTTAGTATTGATATTTCTTTTTCTTTTTTTTAGGAACATGGGATGTGCCTTGGACAGAAAGCTATATTTCACATTGAAGGTACTTTTTTCTAATCTCTTTAGTTTTATATTAATTTATAGCGATTGTTATTAACCATGCAGGCAGTAGACTGAATTGTTGCATTGATTAAGCTCATGAGGGTTGTTTTTGTTTATAATAAAAAATGGGAAGAAACTTTTGGTTAAGCTCATGAAAGTACATTGCTTTTTATTGCATCTAACCCTATAAAGTGATATCTAATATATTTTGCAGATGGATTATATAAACACTTCACACCCGGATTTTATTGGTGAGAGTAAAGCTATTGAAACAACAATGCAACTAGTGAAGTCTTCTAAAATTACAACCAAAAATTCAAGGGAAAAGGTGAAACTCTAAATTCTAAATAGTATGATTGATAAAAAATATATTTTAATCAAGTTCTTGTTAAAAAATATACTTTATAAAATGAAAATGCACTTGAAAATGAAAACAACATGTAAATGAGAACAAATTTGTAAAGTTAGGACTTAATGCTAGTTTCTCTATTAATATCACCTATTTGTTTATACATTAAGTAAAAAAGAAACAACTATATATAGGTGAGGTGTTGTTATTAGTCCATACAAAATCACTTTTTTATTGGCAGATTGAGATGGTGTAGAAGATTATTGCACACATGGCAGATTGAGATGGGTAATCATGTAACAAATTATTCTTTTTCCTTTTCCACATATGACCCACCACAAGGTTGATACTTGTGTTGTTTCTTGTGCAATTTTATTTTTAAGAGATATTTTACTTTATTAAATGTTTAAAGTTACAGGAGATGAGTATCGACACATCATGGAACATTTTAGGGCAGTTGTTGGTTTTCCTCTTGGTGATGCATCAATGAAGTGGCCAACATCATGTAATAACATTTTGGGGGAAGATATAGGTATATGTTCTTTTAATGAATAATGTAATCATATGTATGAATATGAAATAAAGTTTGTTAAATGTATGACAATAAATTTTATGCAATGGATTGTATTTTTTTGTATATGGTATTTTTTTTTTTTTTTTATGAGATATTAAATGCAAATTTAATTTGAAAATTAGTAAATATGTAAATAATATTTTTTGTAACATTTAAATTATGATACGCAAAAATGTGTGTCATCTTCATTTATGACATGGCCTTTCTTGACAGCGGCTTCCTTGATACGCATTGCGTGTCATAAACACGCACGTCGTAAGGTTACGACATGCAAATGCGTGTCGTCTTCCTTTATGGCAGGGCGTTCCTTGATACGCATTGAGTGTTATAACCGCGCGTCGTAAATGCGCGTCGTAAATGCGCGTCATAAATGCACGTCGTTAATGCGCGTCATCTCTCTTTATGATAGGGCGTTGTCTGAGCATTTTACGATGCACAATGAGCGTCGTAGAAGGATGTTTTTCTAGTAGTGATGAAAACCGTAAGTGTCTTAATGTCGACATAAATTCACAACAAAAGTCAATTCCCATAACCCTCAACATAATCTCAAACTGGTGCCTTCCCGTGATCCTCAGATGTACCTAAAACACATAACATAACACGGTAAGCATAAAGCTTAGTGAGTTACCCAAAATACCACAAAATAATCATTAGCCACTCGAGGCTATAGCTTTGGAAGACCCTCCGGTCAATGTGTCTTAGTGGGACCCTCCAATCCCACAGCTCGTTCGACCCTCTGGTCGGGTCTGGTTGAGAACCCTCCGGTCTCATAGTTCGTTGGACCCTCCGGTCTGGTCTAAGTAACATATATATAACATACAATATATATCACACAAACATGCATAACTCAAGCAAGAAGATAAGACCCTCTGGTTACGCGTATTTACCACTCTAGGTAAAGTATAATGAGAAGACTCACCTCGAAGTAAGCAAGCTAATACACCCCGTACACGAATCACTGAACCAACATCCGCCTAATACATATGGTGATTATCTCTAATTAGACCAATTATACTAATAAGCTCATACTAACCCCTCTCTAACTCTTGGTAAGGTTAAAAGACTATTCTACCCTCCATGGTCTCCATTACTCATAGTTGGTCTAAACTCCAAAAGTCAATGGTAGTCAACTTTAGTCAACAGTCCATGTTGACGTAACTCGATGAGTGTACTGGGAGGACTCGTTGTGTCCCCTCGTTCCCTCAATGACCTTATGAAAACCAACTCTACTCGCTGAGTAGCCCGTCTACTCGTCGAGTTGCAGAATGCTCAAACTTTATCGAGTAAACCCTAATCGAGTCGTCGAGTTTGCTCATGGACTTGGCGAGTTCATCCAGACCATACTCCCATTCAGATGTTTTAGGGAAGATCTATCACTCCAAACACTCAGATTAGGCTCCCTAGGCTCGAATGTCTCGTAAAGCTTCGATCGTTATGTTCATACATGGCATAAATGCTCGATAATGCCACTACAAGCTCGAAGGAAGGTTAAATGCATCTGGACCTACCTCTAACTCAATAAAGTTTGAATCTTTGGACTCTCAAGACCTTCTCTAGTCCAGATTTGAGGTTCTAACCTCAAACCATGCACAAATAACTCAAGAACACAATATAGTTAGGGAGAAAACCCTAAAAACCCCCAAAAATGAGATCTAAGAATATGTGGCCAAGATGAGAGTGTTTTACCTTTGACTAGCAGCTAATGACAGAAGAATGCAAGATCTACAACTTTCCCTTGGTTAGATCCACCAGTCTTTTCCAATCCTTCCTCCAAAATGCAAAAGAATGCTCAAGATGGTCTCTCTCTCTCTCTCTCTCTCTCTCTCTCTCTCTCTCTCTCTCTTTCTCTCTCTACACAATGAAAGGGGCTGGTTAGGGTTTCTTTCTGTGAAGTGTGACCGCCTAAAGAGGCTATAAGTGCCTTTAAATAGGTCCCAAACCTAGGGATATAGTGTTTCTCATTCCAGTGCGTACTCGATGAGTAGCCTCTTGGAGTCGTCGAGTAGGTCATTAAACCCTTGTGACCATACGCGACTCGACTCGACGAGTCATAGCATTAACTCGTCGAGTCACTCTATAAACTTCAAAACTAAATAATCAAAATGATGTACCTGGGATTCTGGATGTTACATTTCTCCCCCACTAGAATCGGACTTCGCCCTCGAAGTCATGCTACGCAAATTATTCTAGTTGTTGCTCCCGCATCTCTGACTCCAACTCCCAGGTCAACTTGGACCCCCTCCGATGTTGCCACTAGACTTGATCCAGGGGTACTTCGTTGTTCCTTAGAACATTCACATTTCGATCCAAAATCGCGATTGGCCTTTCAATATATTTCAGGCTCGCATCCACCTGTATGTCCTCTAGCGGTACCACTACCGACTCATCGGCCACACACTTCCTTAACTGAGACGTGTGAAAGGTGTTATGGATCTGACTCAACTCCGCAGGTAGCTCCAACTAGTATACCACCCTGCCTACTATGGCAGTCACTTTGAAAGGACTGATGTACCGAGGTCCCAGCTTGCTCTGTTTCCTGAATTGGATCACCCCTTTTCAAGGGGATACCATCAGGAGTACAAAGTCTTCGACCTGAAACTCAAGCTCGGATCGTCGCCTGTCCCCATAACTCTTCTGGCAGCTTTGCGACGTCAGTAATGTCTGTCTGACGTGTTGAATCTGCTCGGTCATTTTTATCACCATCTCCATGCCACTCATCACCCACTGTCCCACTTCTCCCTAACAAATGGGAGCCAACACTTTCTCCCATACAGAAGCCCAAAGGGAGGCATACCAATACTCGAATGATAACTGTTGTTGTAAGAAAACTCAGTCACTGGTATGTAGGTGTCCCAACTTCCTCCGAAGTCCATGACACACGCACGCAACATGTGTCAAGCGTCTGAACCGTCCGCTCGCTCTGCCCTTCGGTTTGTGGGTGATACACGGTACTGAAATGCATGCGCATGCCCAACTCCTCATGAAACTTCTTCCAAAACCTAGAAGTAAAACACACATCCCGATCCGACACTATCGAAACTGGAACCCCATGATTTTCTAACACTTCTCTCACATAGATTTCAACCAATCTCTTCGCAGAAGAGTTCTTACTAATAGCAAGGAAGTGAGAACTCTTCGTCAATCGGTCCACACTCACCCAAACGCGTCAACTCCTCGCGCAGTCCTTGGCAACTTTGTGATAATGTCCATCGATTAGATGCTCCAGACACTTGTGGTCCGTGTAAATGGTACACCAAACCCCATACAAGTAGTGGCGCTAGATCTTGAGGGCGAACACCGT